ACACGAGGGCCTGAGTCTGGCGCAGATGCCAGGGCCCTTGGAAGATACGGTTAGATGGCACATCGTAGACTTGGCCTTGACTCGCCTGGCCAAGCGCCCCGATTGGGTGGAAGCAGTCTTCTGGCAAGCCTATCCAGCGCTGTCTCGCCAGCAGCTGTCGGGCACTGCCCCCCCCCCAAAAAAAAAAAAAAAAAACTACTGAAGCGAGCGCGCCCCCGAACCGCCGCGCACTTCGCGCCGCCGCGGCCAGCGCAGGCGCCGAGTTCGGCGGGAACTGAAACTGATGGGCAAGGCCTTTACACGGGGCCGCCGGCCACTCGTTGGTGGGCAGCTGGCGGGTCGGCGCCGTCAGGCATGCAGAACAAAAAGATGAGCCTCGCCGTGGAACCACTCGGTGGGTGGTAGCATGGCGAGCGCCCCTCCGCGCAGCAATTCTGACACCGCGCCGCTCTCTGCGGGCGGCAACGAAATCGGCCGGGGCAGGGGCCCCTGGGGCTCTTGCGTCTGCCTGCCTGGCCAGGGCCTCCGTCGCACCAACCTCGAGCAAGTGTTCCAGAACCTCATTGGCCAAGGAACCGATTCGGGCAACCTCGGCAATGGACTAGGGGGGAAGCTGGGCGAGGGCAGCTCCCTTCTGAGCTGCCTCATCAGCAGCCTCAGTACGTCTGAATTCGCCCTCGGAGACAAGTCGGCCTATGTCAGCCCCTGCGGGGTGACTCTTAATCGCGATAAGCTGCACCCCCCATGGCCTGGCGTTGAAAATCATACCAAACACGCGCCCGTGCCGCGGCGTGCACGGGCGGGGCCCGGCCTGGGCCAGCGTGGATTTCTTTCGAAACGCAAGCGCAATCTACAACAAAAAAGGCTGGTCCCGCGGTGTGTTTGAGGGCCTGGGCGAGGCCTTCGAGCTCCGCCAAGCGCGCCGCCTGGTGCCGTCCGAAAAGAGGGCCCCAGGCTTCCCCAAAGATGGCGCCCTGGGACCGAATTGCAAAACCCCAGCCACAAATACGGAGCCTCGGGCCACTGGCGCGGCCGCCCCCGCTTCAATCGGCACCTACAAGGGCATCTGGGGGGAGCTGGAGACGCTGATCCTGCACAAAACCTCCAGAACACTCAATACCTATTCTGGGAACGTGCCAATCTGCGGGTATACCCAGAGGATCGGGACGATTCCACGATGCCAAAAAACAAACCCATTTTTCACGTTCACCTTCCATCTGCGGGTGAAGGTCAAAGGCTGCGTGCGCTGTTGCGTTAAGACATGGGCACTTCCACTGTTGATGTAGAATGTCTTCGACGGGCAGGGGGTGGAGGCGCGCTGCGCTACACCGAGGACACGGCTGTCGATTAGGCTCGTCAGGGAAGCGCCGATCTTCTGGCCACAGGGCTCCTGTAGCTATGCGCTCGAGCAGTGCTGCATGTCCATGGCGTTGCGCGCGCCGACGACCACGCATGAGCCTTAAGAGCACGGTAAGGTCGTCACCGTGCTCAAAGCCTCTGCCACAAAAGTGCTCGGCTGCAAAGTCCCTCCAGATCTGCTGCTCGAATGTCCCGCCAACTTTAGCTAAGACGCACTGTTGCCATCCTAGGTTAGAGCCCGAGACCGCCTCAAAGTAGAAGTGGGCTCTCTCTGGCGGGGCCTCGTCGGGAACCAAGTAGTAGGTGTCTCCGTAGGGGTCCTTCCACTGCCAGGGGAGCTGGGGGTCACACCCCTTCTGGATAAGCGTAGTAACTCGCTCGAGCAGCTATGGAACCTTTGACTTTGCCCCACAGGTGTACAGCACCCTTCATCGCCTCGACGCAGTTGGTCCTGGCGGCTTGGAAGGCGACCCTCTCGCGCGTGAGGGGGGGCAGGATATGCAGCCAAGCCTTGATCATGTCGTGGCGAGGAGTAAAAAACTAAGGGTCGCATGTCTTGCCAGGGCAGATCCGCATTGCTACCGTAGCACACCCTCCAGCCCGCTGCTTCCCAAACAGGGCGGCCATCTTGGACCGTAGCTGCTTGAGAACGGTGGGCGAGGCACCTTGGGCCATCATTCCCCAGGAAGCTTGCGGCTTAACCCCAGTGAGATTGAGTTTGCTGGCTTGCCTATCAGTTTTGAAGAGTTTGTTTCGCACGCTCGGCCATGCGAAAGCCTTGTTCAGCCGGCCTTTGGCGACCTGTGTGGATCGCCTCCTTGACGCATAATCTAGTCCGAGGTCTCTCGTCTGAGTATTCAACTGGGCGTGGATACCAGCCTTCTGGAGTGCCTCGTGAACCCCCTTGACCAGGAGGGGTGTGCTGCCGAGGAGCTGGAACTTTCCTGAGAGACGGAGACCTCGGGCTCTCATCTGGCAAAACAAATCTGTGGCACCATGGGTGGTCAGCCTGTGCACGACAGCATTAGGGCCCCTCGAGGAGGGAGAGATGTCGTCCGCCCACGTGCTGCCTTCCATATGTCTATATCGTGCATGAGCATATCCTCCTCCTCCTCCTGCTCCTCATCCTCCTCCTCCTCCTCCTCCTCCTCCTCCTCCTCCTCCTCCTCACTATACTCCCCCACCTCCTCCTCATCACTACTCTCCCTCCTCCGCCTCCCCCTCCTCCGTCTCCTCCTCCTCCTCCTCCTCCTCCTCCTCCTCCTCCTCCTCCTCCTCATCTTCACCATCATCAGCACCATCCGTTGCGTCGTCATCATCATTATCATCATCATCAGCAGCAGCATCATCATCAGCATCATCATCAGCATCAGCATCAGCATCATCTGCATTATCATCATCACCATCAGCATCATCGTCATTATCGTCGTCATCATCATCATCATCAGCATCAGCATCATCATCATCGCCAGCATCAGCATCAGCATCAGCATCTGCATCGTTATCATAATCAGCTTCATCGTCATCATCATCATGAACAGCAGCGACATCATCACCATCAGCAGCAGCAGGCGCATCATCAACATCAGCATCAGCATCATCATCAGCATCATCGGCAGCAGCATCAGCAAAGGCAGCAGCATCAGCATCAGCATCATCATCACCACCGCCAGCATCATCATCATCATCAGCATCATCATCAGCAGCAGCAGCATAATCATCGGCAGCAGCATCAGCATCAACAGTGTCATCATCATCATCAACAGCAACATCGCCATCATCATCAGCATCCTCATCATCCTCATCAGCAGCATCACCACTATCATCATCGACATCATCATGTTCAGCATCATCAGCATCAGCATCCTCATTCTCATCAGCATCAGCAGCATCAGCGTCATCATCAGCATCAGTACCATCACAAACATCAACGCCATCAGCATCGACATCAGCAGCATCAGCATCATCATCAGCATCACCGGCATCGGCTGCAACAGCATCAGAATCACCAACATCATCATCATCATCATCATCATCATCATCATCATCATCATCCGCAGCAGCAGCATCAGCATCAACATCATCATCGGCATATCAGCATCAGCATCAGCACCGTCATCATCATCAGCACCATCAGCACCATCAGCACCATCAGCGTCATCAACATCGTCAACATCATCACCGTCATCAGCATAATCATCATTATCGTCATCATCAACAGCATCAGCATCAGCATCAGCATCAGCATCATCCTCAACATCAGCAGCAACATCGTCAACATGATCATAATGGTCATCACAACCATCACCAGCATCATAGTCATGAGCATCGGCATCATGTTCATCAGCGTCATAACCATCATAATAATCAGCATCCTCATCATCATCAGCGTCATGATCAGCTGCATCATCATTGGCATTATCAGAATCACTATCATAAGCATCATCCGCATCATCAACATCATCAATACCAGCACCAGCACGATCAGTGTCATCATCATCAGCAGCAGCAGCAGCATCCTCAGTATCATCAGCAGCACCAACATCGTCATCAGCAGCAACAGCATAAGCATCATCAGCAACGGCAGCAGCATTAGCGTCAGTATCATCATCGCCCTCATCGTTATCATTATCATCATCCGCATCCTCATCCTCTTCCTAGTACCCCTCTTCCCTCCCTCATCCCCTACTCCTACGTCTCCGCACCCTCCTCCTCCTCCTGCTCCTCCTCCTCCTCCTGATCCATCCTGGGCGTCCTCCGTCCCTCATTTCTCCTTCCTCGTCCTCCTCCTCCCCTCCTCCTCCTCCTCCTCCTCCTCCTCCTCTCCTCCTCCTCCTCCTCCTCTCCTCCTCCACCTCCTCCTCCTCCTCCTCCTCCTCCCTCCTCCTCCTCCTCCTGCTCCTCTTCCTCCTCATCCTCCTTCTCCTTCTCCCGCTTCTGCTCCTGCTCCTGCTCTCCCTCCTCTCATCATCCCCCCTCCTGTCTCTCATCCTCCTGCCTCCCTCCTCCTCCTCTCCTCCTCTCTCCTCCTCCCTCCTCCTCCTCCTCATCATCCATCATCATCATCATCATCATCATCATCAGCATCATCATCATCATCATCATCATCATCATCATCATCATCATCATCATCATCATCATCATCATTCCTCTTTGTATTATTAGAGTGCTTCGTCTTCTTAATATTTATAATGATATGAATGTTATTACTTGTATTATGTTGCTGATTGTTATCAATGGTACTTATCGGCCGTCGTATCATTATCAATCGTATTCTGAATATTTTTTTGAATGCGAATCGTTGCTGCTTATTAGTATTAGTTTATGGATATTTTTAGCATTCGTATTTTACTGAATCGTCTTCTTCTTATTCGTCTTCTTTTTCCTCCTCCTACTTCTCCTCCCCCTCTTCCTCCTCCTCCTCCTCCTCCTCCTCCTCCAGCAACTCCCATCCTCCTCCTCCTCCTCCCCCTCCTCCCCCTTCTCCTCCCCCCTCTCACTCCAGTCCTCCACCCCCCTCCTCCTCCTCCCTCCCTCCTTTCTTCTCCCTGCCCCCTTCCTCCATGACAGGAAGCGGCAGAAGCTGGCGGAAGAGCCCAGCCTGGGCGGCGGCGGCGGCGGCCGGTGTGGGCCGGCGGGGCCTCGCCGTCGCCATAGGCGGCCTTCTCGAAGGCGGTCTGCGTTGTGTCGCTGGGGCGGCGTTGCTAATTGTTGTATCGTCGGCGGCGTCGCGGAGGGGGGAGAAGGAGGAGGACGAGGAGGAGGTGGAGGAGCAGGAGGGGGAGCGAGGAGGTAGAGAGGAGGGATGAGGGAGAAGGGAGGAGGGAGAAGGGAGTAGGGAGGTGGTGGTGGTGGTGGTGCAACGGTGGCATGGCAGTCAATGCGTGCTCACATTTTGTTTCAATCCGCGAAGGGCGCGTCGCTTTCCCCATCGGCACAGGGTGGCTTCAACGAGCAGCCCTGAAAACTCCGCCTCCGAAGGGCGCAGGCGGTCGTTCAAGCAGGCTTCCGACACGCTCCGCCCAGGACTGCGGAATGTCGACTCTCGGCGCGCCCGCCTACCATCGGATCTCCCCTCGGGACCCCTTCCCCGTCGAGGCGGCGCGAGGCCGCTCGCGCCAGCGCTCGCTGCTCACTGCCCGCCGACCTCAGAGGACGATCCCGCGGCCCTTGATCTTGCCCGACGTGTACTGGGATACGTCGTACACGTCCGTCTTCAGCGGACGCGTGAAGAGGCGGAAGACCCAGTCGGGCTGCCCAACGTCTTCAGGCCACATGCCCGACTGCATCTCCTTCCAGACAGGATGATCATACTTCACCCTCCTCCTCATTTGAAACTTCTCGTACTAGCCCAGCGGCGGGGGCTTGTTCTTCTCGGCGTATTCTCCCTCAGATTGTTCGTCCTCCTCCTGGGTGATCGGCACGGACGGGCCATTGTAGATGATGGGCTCCTGCAAGCCCAACCTCTTGCCAGTGGTCGCCATGTAATTGGCCCACGTGGCGTCCGCATTCCTCCTCAGTCGCTGTTCATTCGTCCTTCGCCCGACGCGCATGTAGTAGTTGGCCGTGAAGATTATATAGCGGCTCTGGTCGCCGGAGCCCCAATGGTACCGCTGGCGGAGCGCGGCCATCTTGTTGTAGCCCTGGTCGTACATGTCCCACATGCGGCGCAGAGAACGGCGGCGCCAGGCTCCCGGCGCTGGCCCTCCTTCTCCAACCTCGTGGTGGCGTAGGCGAGGCACGCCTTCCTGTTGACTGACTGCGACTTGCGGCCACTTCCAGACTGCCTCGTGCGGTCGAAGAGTTTCTCTGGATGCGACCACGTGCCGCCCCTGGTGCCGCCTGAGAGCATCACCACTGCCTTGAAGGCGATATCAGTCGCGTTGCCGTCAAGCTTTTCCTCACTGTCAGCAGTATCCACCACCGAGGAAGAGAAGCAGGGACAGACCAGAATTAGTCGTCACAAGATCAAACCTCTGGAAGACCCGCTTCGGTTCCCGGGACCGCCATGAATCGCTACGCGATGAAGAAACTGCCAGGATGGACACTGGGAATGGTCTAGGGACCGATGTTCAGCGATTTACTACGGCGGAGGAGGAGGCGGAGGCGGATCGAGGAGGACGAAAAGGATCAACGCCTTCTACGTTTCTGGACCAAATAGAAGCCTCCCGATGCTTTCGGGGACCCTCTGGCCAGGAGCCTCTGTGGACCTCCAGGCCTCTGGAGGCAACATCCACCGCTGAGGAGGAGGAGGAGGAGAAGGAGGAGGAGTAGGGGGATCGAGGAGGAGGAGATTCGAAGTGGATCGAGGAGGATCGATGATAACAGAGGAGAAGCGAGGAGTTTACACAAGGAAGGAGTAAGGAGGAGGAAGAAGAGGGAGGAGGAGGAGGAGGAGGAAGAGGAGGAGGAAGAAGAGGAAGAGGAGGACGAGGAGGAGGAAGGAGCGAGGAGAGGAGGAGGAGGAGGAGGAGGAGGAGGAGGAGCTGGCAGGAGGAGGATGGAGGATGGGGGAGGATGCATTTGGAATAGCACGTTGGAGAGGACCTAATCTTACGAATTGGGGAGGGGCCGAGAAGGAGGAGGAGGAGGAGGAGGAGGAGGAGGGGAGGGGGAGGTTTGCATTGAAGGCGACATCAGTCGCGTTGCCGACAAGCTTTTCCTCACCGTCAGCAGTATCCACCGCCAAGGAAGAGAAGCAGGGACAGACCAGAATTTGTCGTCACAAGATCAAACCTCTGGAGGACACATTTCGGTTCCCAGGACCGCCATGAATCGCTACGCGATGAAGAAACTGCCAGGATGGACACTGGGAATGGTCTAGGGACCGATGTTCAGAGATTTACTACGGCGGAGAAGGAGGCGGAGGCGGATCGAGGAGGACGAAAAGGATCAACGCCTTCTATGTTTCTGGACCATGTAGAAGCCTCCCGATGCTTTCGGGGGCCCTCTGGCCAGAAGCCTCTGTGGACCTCCAGACCTCTGGAGGCAACATCCACCGCTGAGGAGGAGGAGGAGGAGGAGGAGCAGGAGGAGGACGAGGAGGAGGAGGAGGAGGAAAAGGAGGAGGAGGGGGATCGAGGAGGAGAAGAATCGAAGTGGATCGAGGAGGACCGATGATAACAGAGGAGAAGCGAGGAGTTTACACAAGGAAGGAGTAAGGAGGAGGAAGAAGAGGAAGAGGAGGAGGAGGAGGAGGACGAGGAGGACGAGGAGGAGGAAGGAGCGAGGAGAGGAGGAGGAGGAGGAGGAGGAGCTGGCAGGAGGAGGATGGAGGATGGGGGAGGATGCATTTGGAATAGCACGTTGGAGAGGACCTAATCTTACGGATTGGGGAGGGGGCGAGAAGGAGGAGGAAGAGGAGGAGGAGAAGGAGGCGACATCAGTCGCGTTGCCGGCAAGCTTTTCCTCACTGTCAGCAATATCCACCGCCAAGGAAGAGAAGCAAGGACAAACCAGAATCTGTCGTCACAAGATCAAACTTCTGGAGAAACCATTTCGGTTCCCAGGACCGCCATGAATCGCTACGCGATGAAGAAGCTGCCAGGATGGACACTGGGAATGGTCTAGGGACCGATGTTCAGAGATTTACTACGGCGGAGGAAGCGGAGGCGGACCGAGGAGGACGAAAAGGATCAACGCCTTCTATGCAGAAACCTCCCGATGTTTTCGGGGGCCCTCTGGCCAGAAGCCTCTGTGGACCTCCAGACCTCTGGAGGCAACGTCCACCGCTGAGGAGGAGGAGGAGGGGGATCGAGGAGGAGGAGAATCGAAGTGGATCGGGGAGGATCGATGAGAATCGAGGAGAAGCGGGGAGTTTACACAAGGAAAGAGTAAGGAGGAGGAAGAAGAGGGAGGAGGAGGAGGAGGAGGAGGAGGAGGAGGAGGAAGGAGCGAGGATAGGAGGAGGAGGAGGAGGAGGAAGAGGAGGAGATATTATTGCGCATCTGCCCCTTCTTTTCTCTGCTTATGAAGCTATCTCCGACCTTCGAAGTTTCCTGCCCTGGCCCACGATCCCCAAGGATTCCTGCAATTACGATTCTTCAATTCTTGGGAGTTCTCAGGATGACTCAAGATTATCTAGATCCCCTCTCGTCGTGAAAAAATCGCGACGGCTAAATGTTGGCTGTTTTCGGCCTGAAGGGGCCCTCACAAGGCCCTGGGACTTCCAAAAAACTACCGGGGATGAGAAACATACCTCTGGGGGTCCACGTTTGGAAAAAAACGCGGCGGCGGAGATCTGGGCACCCAAGATGCCTCGCGATACTTCAGGACTCCTCAAAATTCCTGGCGGGGAGCATCGGCCTGGAATCGAGGATGCATCGTCGACTTCTCGGCGACAGGCTGACGGGCTCAAGATGCGAGGCACGGGCCCGGAATCGACAATGCACCATCGACTTCTCGGCGACAGGCTGACTGGCTCAGGGCGGGAAGCATCGGCCTGGAATCGACGACGCACAGTCGACTTTTTGTTTCCCTACTGTGTGGCAGGCATCCCGCAGAGCACGTTTCAAGAAGCGGAAGCGCCTGCGGCGCATCTAGACGCGCGCGTCAATCTAGACGCGCGCGACCTCGCGCGCCACCCAGCGCCATCTGCATGCTGGGCATTCCGAGAAGGGCGCTCGGGGCCGATCGCCACGATGCGTTTCTTCTACTGCTCGCACCCCGGCGTCGTCGAAGCTCGCGGCGGCCCAGGCGACGCAACAGCTCCGACGGGGACGGCGGCCACATTGGAGGGCAACTGCGAGGTCTGAATTGACGCAATGGTCCATACTGATGCCGCACTTTTCATGGACCCCTACTTCTATTCTTGCGATTGCTGACTCGCCACGTAGATCCGATGGCAGCGACGGCGGCGTCAAATTGGGGGTCTAATCACGACCAGTTCGATCGCCCGCTCGGCGCGCTCGCGCCGGCGGGCGCGTCGCCGACCCATCTGAGCGTCGCGGTCGGCCTCCAATCTGGCCTCGAAGCGAGCCGGAGCTAATCTGGGGCGCCAAGTCATGACCGACCTTGGCCCTGATCGATACGGTCGGTCGACGCTTCAGCGAGACGCCCATGTCCGCGGCGTCACCTGTCCAGCTAGGCAGCTCGCGCAAGCTGGCCATGTCGGAGGCGCGCGAGTCGACCGAGTCACCGACGCGTGGGAAAACGCTTCGCTGATTTACGGGGACCGCAGGCTGGCCCATCGGCGGGGCGGCGGACCCCGCGCTGCACTGCTGACCAATGAATTCAGCTCGCAAGAACCCCGACTGATGGACAAGCTCCGTCGGCAACTGCCGCCGGCCCCGCGGCGGCGGCGACCGCGCCGAGAAGATGCGGCAGCTGCGCCGGGACGCGCAGCGGTCCCGAGGCCGGCGTTGCAACATTGAACATCTGAGGTGGCAGCAGGGCGGCTGGCGCGCCAGCGCACGCGCGGCAGACGATCGAAGCGAAGCTGCTGACCACGAGCCGTGGACATATCCAATCCACTGCCAAAGCCGTCGACAGATGGCTGCGCTGGCGCGGCGCTGGGCCCCGGCCGCGGCTGAAAAGAAATCTCAATGAAAGGTGTCTCCAGAGACGCCGGCCAGTGGGCCGCGGCCCAGGGCGCCATCTACGGGCCCCGAGCACGCGCGCCCTCCACACTGACCGCCGCCGCCGCAAACCCGCGGCGCAGACGCGGCGCCCCAGGGGCGCTCAGCACGACGGCGGCATTCGCTTCCGCAGGCGCCACGCGCCATGGTGGCCCCGTCGCATCCACGGGGATTGCGGCGCCTGGCCCCCCCCGGCACGACGAGCGCTCGCCCCGCTCCGTCCGCCTCCACCAAGGAAGACCTGACTAACCTGAGTATCGTAGAGCTCCAAAAGAAACGCACCTGCCTGGGCACCTCTGCCACCGCCTTTGCTTTTGTTTTTTTCTTGAGAAGGTGCCCTTGCGCTTTTTGATGAAAATCATCGGCTTGCGGTCGGGGCGTTGCGCACGCCCAGGCAACTGACGTTTAGCGGGTTCTTGATCCGCCGAAACAGCGGAGCATGTATCTGGGCAGGGCTGAGACCTTGGAACTCTGGAGCTCGGTAATTGACTTTTCGGCTTGGCTCCGGGCTGGTGTCTGCGGAGGCTCCACTGACGAAGCCGGACCCCTCTGCGGGCGCCTATGCGGCGGCGGAATATGCTGCGCGCGGCGGCACGGCGCTCTGACGGCGCACGCCATGGTATATCTGGCACAAGGAAAATCAGCGGGGCGAGCTACCCAGAGGTCGAGGCCTTGAGTGCACGGGGGGCCTGCAGGAGGTGCGTCTTGACTGCCGTCGTTAATCATGCCGTGGAAGCCTTGAGACGATGGTGGCGAACGAAGGGAGATAACGATGCGGTTTGATTGGTGCGCGTTCCACGATGAGCCCGCGCGCCTGAGCAGGGTCGTGCGACTGTTAGACTCAGGCTCCGTGGCTGGGCATCGTTTGCCGCGCGGCTGGAACAGCGCCACGAGTTGGCTAGCTGCGACGCCGACCGCGCGGAGCAACCAGCTGCCCGAGACATCGCCGCTCCACCGTTGTGCGTAGCTCGAAATCGCAGCGTGAGAAGCCGCCAGAGTAGCGCATCAATGGTGTCCTTACGGCGCCTCGAGAACTCGACGAGCTCGAGTGTAGCCTGGCAGCGCGACTCCTTGCCCAGCGGGTCAAACTGAATGGCAAGGTTCTCGATGAGGTAGGTTACGGCGTCCTCGTGCTGGTCGCTTACCACGACCCCCTCCTTCATCTCCGTGGCGCTCTGGCTCCACCGAGGGCGAGGATGAAGGCAGCGCATTGTTGGGCGCTGTCCATGTCGGTGGCGAGCACGCTCCAAGCGAACAGGTCTTGTACGCACTGGCGGAATGGTTACACCGACCCGCGCTCGAGTGACCATGAGGGCGGCTGGCGGTAGGTGATCCCTCCGCGGCCGCCGCCACCGCCCCTGGCAGGTTCCAGCAAGCATCACGCAGGTGAGCCAGAGAAGGGTGGCCACGAGCACGAGGATGCTGCCCCAAAGCGTCTGAATGGAGATCCTCGTCGATCAGACTACACCACGATGCGAACTGCGGAAGCGTCTCGGGGCTCGGGCCTGCGCAGGGACGAACGCCAAGTCTAAGTCGGGGGCAGCCGTAGTGGTGCTGAGAACCTTGGTCGAAGCCACAGGAGGCGAGCCTGGCGCGTTAGCCTTCAATGTTCCACTCGACTGGTGCGACGCGCTCGCACGGACAGCCATTACTGTCGCCCACATCACGGGGCACGGTATTAGCCCACGGAACAGCCTCGCAGTCATGCCCGGCGCGAAGCTGCTGCCAGGACCTGTGGGGTGCGATAGGTCGTGGGAACCGTCGTGGCGCTTCCGCGGGCGATTGTTCCACAGCGCGTTGTCGCCTGCAGCTGCCGATGCCCTCGCAGCCGGACCGTGTGTCCTGGGCGATTTACCCGTCGGTGTGCAAAGCGACCATAAACAGCAGCTGTTCATGGACTGGAAGGTGGCACCAATGCGGGAGCGAAGGGAAATGCGAATGTGTATCCACACCGCACTCTGCGCACGTCCCGTGGATCGCGAGCTGGGATCGCTCCAAACTCCGCTACCAAGTAGAATTGCGAGGGTTGGAAACTTGACGACAGAAAGCATTGCAACAACCAGATGTAGATCGCGGGCTTGAAGGTCAACAATACAACGTAGTACGCGCCAGCGCTGGAGCCAAACGGCGACAGAGCATCCTATTCAAATAGGAAAACTGGGAAACTTGGAAGAGGAAAAAGCAGGGAGAAGGATGGATGGAGGGAGGAGAAAGGACGAGGGAAGAGGAAGGGAGGAGGGAGGAGGAAGGAAGGAAGGACGCGGAGGAGAAGGAGGAGGAGGGAGGAGGGAGGAGGGAAGAGAGTGATGAGGAAGGGAGGAGGCAGGAGAGAGGAGAGAGGAGGGAGGAGGGAGGAGGGAGGAGGAGAAGGAGGGAGGGAGGGAGGGAGGGAGGGAGGGAGGGAGGAGGAGGAGAAGGAAGAAAAAGGCATCACGTGGGTGCGGACGCACCTGTCGCAGCAGCGCAGGCCGCAGAGGGCGCAGCCGATGTCGCCGCTGGGCGGGCACTGCAGCTCGTAGTAGCAGGTGAGGAGCTTCAGGTTGCACTCGGGGGGACGCGCGATTGCTGGGGTTTCCAAAACGATACGGTGACAAGCTGTGCGCTGTGCGGTGGTCTCGAAATCCCCAAAAACCTCACCGCGCGGTCCGTGACCGCACGGTCACGGGACCTCGAGGGCACCAGTCGGAGGACGACCCGAGTCTCAACTTGGGGGGGGCCGACTCGGCGGCAAGGGAGAGAGGACGCCGTGAAGAAGAAGAAGAAAACGGAGACCATAACCAAGACTGAGCGCAGAAGTGTCGTGCCAGTCTTTGCCACCGTCGACCTTCGTCAGCCTCAATTCGTAGATCATCCTCGCGAATCGGCGACGGCCAACTTGGAACATGACCAAAATCGGCATCAACAGGATTCCGCGACATCTTGGTCATGTTTCTTCCCCCGACTCAGGGGGCGAGGGGGGTTCCGACTCGGCGGCGAGGGGGATAAGGCGCCGCGCACCTCAGAGGAGCATGAGCAGGAGAGATAGCGCTAGAGCGACATCCGCCGGTCGCGGTAAAACAACGTGGATCTCCAGGCATCGCCCCCTCCATGGACCAAATCGATCTGTAACGGCCCCAGGGCCCGAAGCCGGGCGAAGACGCCTGGTGCGAAAACAATAACGACGCCCGCATCTCAGGGAGTGTTGCCGAGGTCAAGAGGGTCAGGGTCGCCAAAAGGGCCACATGATGGACGAGGCGGGAGAGCAGCGGGGCTAGGGGGCGCCGACGGCGGGGGCGCGCCCAAACGAAGGAAGCAGAAGCTGCTCGTCTGCCTGCAGTCGACGTGGGACGAGGGCATCACCCCAGGCGTCAAGGGGCACTGGGACACCATTCGCAGCCCTCTGCGCGCATGCGTCGTGCGGGCTCAAGGAGCTTCAGGTTGCACTCTGGGGGGCGGGGGGGGGGCCTGACGGCGGGGTGGGGTCCCCGATCTCCGACGATCCAGATTTTTGAACTAGCGGTGTCTCCTCGATTTGGGCTTCTGGGGTATCGGGCCCAAATGGATCTGGGGCGAAAAACCAGCCCTGTGGAAGGGGTCGGGACCTCTGGAACCTCTAGGGTGGGGCGGTGAACAACCCTCAGATCCAAGCGTTGCCATTTCTTCACACAGGGCATTTCCGCTCGGTGTCGGTCCCTGGGGCCATTTCAGGTCAATGTGGCTCAAAAAAGGCCGCATTAAGATGGGTCTACGGCTCCGGTCTTGATTCTTCGCGACGCTGCAATTGTTTCGCCACGTCGGATCTCAGTGGAATCAGACGAAGAGGTGGCATTACACCGGGAGGGCCAGGGTGGGAACGACGAGGAGGAGGGGGAGAAGGAGGAGCAGGAGGAGCAGCAGAGGGGCCAAGGGCAGGGGGGAGCAGAAAGAGGTGGAGAGTTGCACGAGGAAGGCAGGGACAGAAGAAGCGCGCCTGAAGGGCGGGGGTGGTGGAAAGGGAAGGGAGGAATGCAGGGCGGAGGGGGGGGCAGGTTGTAGGAGCGGTGAGGGCAAAGAAGGAGGGAGGGACAGCTGGAAAGTCCTCCTCCTTCTCCTCCACCTTTCCCTCTGGCAGCGACGACGACGACGACGACGACGACGACGGCGGTGGTTTGCGTCGGCGGGTGGGCAGAGGGCGACTGCTCCTGCGGGAAAGCAACAGAGGACCAAACCCGCATGCGATCCCTGCGCGCCGATTAACTGCTGTTCAGGCGACACGAGGACAGGGCACGTGCCAAACGAATTACCACAATGCATAGCAACGCGAGCTAGGCTGAGCTCTCAGAGAACGGTGGGCACACACACACACATACGCTTACAATTTCCTCCGACACGCCAGTGAATCCAACCGGAGCTACAAGTACGAATCTGCCAAAAACATAATTCGTTTCCCTGTGAAAAACGCGGCGAGACACCACAGCACTCCCAGAAACCGTCAGACCAGAAAGTGCTGCTTAGTTCAGACTCTTTCCATTCTCCTTCGGTGCACTGGAACTGGCCACGCGCAGATGTTCTAAGAATCCGTGGGCGGGCCTCCAGTCCAAATTCTTTATACAGCGCGAAGCATCAGATGATTGGATGCCTCTCCAGACATGGCGTGGACCCAGCCGTGGTTGTGAGAACCGCAAAAGTCAATTTCGAGAGTCCCCCCACGATCCTTTGCCAGAGGACCAGAATACGGCCAGAATACGGCATCACCGGTTGGTGCACAGCTCTGGGATCAACAAGAGTATTGTCCGACACGCTGGAGAGATGGCGGCCGATCATTGGGGCGCTCTTCGGCAGCAGCGGCTTCACTGTCAGAGTGGCGTAGCTCCAGGGTGGACCAAACATGCTGACACATGCTACGAGAGGATGGCAGACGGGGTAGGAAGGTGGGAATTTGCTCTTGTTGCTAACAAATTCATTTTTCGGTCGAATTGTCAAGGCAATTTTCGCTCAAGTGGTGAACGCATTGCATCGTCATGGAATGTCTGTTGCGCACGCTGTAAACATTTAGGCCCTGTAGCGCTTACAGCGCCCTAGGATCACTGAACTGTACACACAGTGCTGGTCGGTAGTTCCAGCCAGGCAGAGTATTGGAGAGCATTGGCAGCCGCGTTGAAAAAGGTAACAGCCCAATCCAGAGGAGGAGGAGGAGGAGGAGCAGGAGGAGGAGGAGCCAAGGGCGGGGAGCAGAAAGGGGTGGAGAGTTGCACGAGGAAGGCAGGGACAGTAGAAGCGCGGCAGGTTGTAGGAGCGACGAGGGCAAAGAAGGAGAGAGGGAAAGCTGGAGAGGCCTCCTCCTCCTCCTTCTCCTCCACGTTTCCCTCTGGCAGCGACGGCGACGACGACGACGTCGACGACGACGACGACGACGACGACGACGACGACGACGGTGGCGGCGGTGGCGACGACGACGACGACGACGACGATAACGGCGACCCCCGACTGCCTCCAAGGGCCAAGAAACTGTCAAGAGGCCCCCACACTTTTTGCGTCGGCGGTTGGGCAGAGGGCGACTGCTCCGACGGGCAAGCAACAGGGGACAAAACCCCCACACACACACACACACACACACACACACATTGATCCCTGCGCGTAGACGGACTGCTGTTCAGGCGACACGAGGACAGGGCACGTGCCAAACGAACTACCACATTACATAGCAACGCGAGCTAGGCTGAGCTCTCAGAGAACGCGGGCACACACACTACGTTCCTCCGACGCGCCAGTGAACCCAACCAGCGCTACAATTACGGGGATGCCAACAACATAATTCGTTCCCCTGTGAAAAACATGGCAAGACAGCCGAGCCATCGAGCCGCTCAGAGCGAGCAGCACCACCAACTTGTCTTAAGTCACCCAAATTTGGACGACGGACGGGTCACACACGCACATACCCACATGAACGCATATAAACAGATTCGCACACATGCACACGTACATACATGCAAACAAACAAACGGACATATATGTACACATAATAAAACATAACATAACGTTTCGTACCATATCATACCATTTCATATCAAACCTTAGCGCAACGAAATATATAATAACATAACATAACATGTTATATCATGGCATAACATGTCATAACATAACATATCATTTTATAACATAACATAACACAACATTGCATAACATGGCATATCATAGTATAACAAAATGTAGCATAACTAACAAACAAACAAACATACAAACATACACACATACAAACATACATACATACATACATGCATAACTACATGCATACATGCATGCATGCATGCATGCATGCATACATACATACATACATACATACATACATACGTAGATACATACATACATACATACATACATACATACATGCATGCATACATGCATACAGACAGACATACCTATAATGCATGCATACATACATACATACATACATACATACATACATACATAAATCAGAGTAAGGGGGCGAACGCTCATTCTTTGATCCCGGGTGCGTGGCTGAGATGGGGATCCGCGGGGAAATTTCTGCTTGTTGGTGGCGTGTTGTCGTCGTCCCCCCCCGACCCGCCCGCGACCCACCCGCGACCCACACCGCGACCCACCCCGCGACCCACCCCGCGACCCACCCCGCGACCCACCCCGCGACCATCTCCGTGACCCGCCCATGACCCACCCACGACCCACCCCGCGACCCACCCGCGACCCACCCGCGACCCACCCCGCGACCCACCCCGCGACCCACCCCGCGACCCACCCCGCGACCCACCCCGCGACCCACCTTTAGCGAAGGAATCGGCGCCTGCGGCGGGCTCACTGCATAATTTGTAAAAATTAGGCGCCTGCGGTGAGCTTCTTCAGAGCCTCGCAGACTGACGACGTCCTCGCCGCCCCCTCACCCTTATCCGCAACTGCCGGGTGCTACGTATAACATATATGTGCATATATACATATGTATGTGCATGTACCCCTCCGTCACTCTCTCTCTCTCTCTCTCTCTTTTTCTCTCTCTCTCTCTCTCTCTCTCTCCTTACCCCCCCCCCTCTCTCTGTCTCTCTCTTCTTCTCTCCCTCTCTCTCTCTACACACACATATGTTTACATATCAGAGCGAGGGGGCCGAACGCTCATTCTTTGTTCCCGAGTGCGTGGCTGAAGCGGGGATCCGCGGGGAAGATTCTGCTTGTTGTTGTTGTCGTCGTCCCCCCCCCCCGCGACCCGCCCGCGACCCGCCCGCGACCCCACCCGCGACCCTAACCCGCGACCCACCCCGCGACCCACCCCGCGACCCACCCCGCGACCCACCCCGCGACCCACCCCCTGACCCACCCGCGACCCACCCGCGACCCACCCCGCGACCCACCCCACGACCCAACCGCGACCCACCGCGACCCACCCCGCGACCCACCCCGCGACCCACCACCTACCGTGACCCACCCCGCGACCCACCCCGCGACCCACCCCGCGACCCACACCGCGACCCACCACCCGCGACCCACCCGCGACCCACCGCGACCCACCCCGCGACCCAACCGCGACCCACCCCGCGACCCAGCCCGCGACCCATCCGCGACCCGGCCCGCGGCCCACCCCGCGACCCACCCGCGACCCACCCGCGACCCACCTCGCGATCCACCCACATTGCTTGAACGAAAAAATCGGCACCTGCGGCGTGCTCACTGCATAATTTGTAAAAGTTCGGCGCCTGCGGCGGGCTTCTTCAGAGCCTCGCAGACTGACGATGTCCTCGCCGCCTCCTCACTCTTATCCGCAACTGCGGAATGCTACGTCCATACATCCATACATGCATACATGCATAACTACATACATACACACCCTTACATACACACACACACACACACACACACACACGTTTGGGCGCCGCTCCCCGCGCGCAGCGGCAGGGCGTCCAACAGTCACAGAAAAGGATGCACGCGCGCGACGAAAGGCCGAGCACTCGAACCGCTCAGAACGAGCAACACCACCAACTTGTTTTAAGTAATCCAAACGTGGACGACGGAAAAGGTATGACTGGCACACACACACACATAAACAAACGTGAATATTCCCCAAACAGCGTGCTGAACGGGGTGCTGTTGTGATAGAAGCTAACTCCGGCCGAAGGAAAGGGAAGCAAAGACATCCTCACAAAAATCTGATGGTCCGGGCCAATTCGCTTGAGACATCCTCACAACTCTCGTTTCTGAGTTGGCCGGGATTGGCCGTTTCGCTTGAGACATCCTCGAAAAGTTGCGCTCCGGGACGCCGCGCGAGAGGTGGTCCGGTCCGTTCCGCCTGAGACATCCTCGCAACTCTGGGCTCCGAGGTGCAGCGCAAGAGGTGGTCCGGTCCGTTTCGCCTGAGACATCCTCGCAACTCTGGGCTCCGAGATGCCGCTTGCGAGGTGGTCTGGCCCGTTTCGCCTGAGACATCCTCGAAAACTCTGGGCTCCGAGATGCCGCTTGCGAGGTGGTCCGGCCCGTTTCGCCTGAGACATCCTCGCAACTCTGGGCCCCGAGGTGCAGCGCAAGAGGACATCCTCGCAACTCTGAGCTCCGAAGTGCAGCGCAAGAGGTGGTCTGGCCCGTTTCGCCGGCGACATCCTCGCAACTCTGGGCTCCGAGATGCCGCTTGCGAGGTGGTCTGGCCTGTTTCGCCTGAGACATCCTCGCAGCTCTGAGCCCCGAGGTGCAGCGCAAGAGGTGGTCCGGCCCGTTTCGCCTGAGACATCCTCGCAACTCTGAGCTCCGAGATGCCGCTTGCGAGGTAGTCTGACCTGTTTCGCCTGAGACATCCTCGCAGCTCTGAGCCCCGAGGTGCAGCGCAAGAGGTGGTCCGGTCCGTTCCGCCTGAGACATCCTCGCAACTCTGGGCTCCGAGATGCCCCTTGCGACGTGGTCTGGCCCGTTTCGCCTGAGACATCCTCGAAACTCTGGGCTCCGAGATGCCGCTTGCGAGGTGGTCTGGCCCGTTTCGCCTGAGACATCCTCGAAAACTCTGGGCCCCGAGGTGCAGCGCAAGAGGTGGTCCGGCCCGTTTCGCCTGAGACATCCTCGAAAACTCTGAGCTCGGAAGTGCAGCGCAAGAGGTGGTCCGGCCCGTTTCGCCTGAGACACTCTCGCAACTCTGGGCTCCGAGATGCCGCTTGCGAGGTGGTCTGGCCTGTTTCGCCTGAGACATCCTCGCAGCTCTGAGCCCCGAGGTGCAGCGCAAGAGGTGGTCCGGCCCGTTTCGCCTGAGACATCCTCGAAAAGCTTGGGACCGAGATGCCGCGCGAGAGGTGGTCCGGCCCGTTTCGCCTGAGACATCCTCGAAAAGCTTGGGGCCGAGATGCCGCGCGAGAGGTGGTCTGGCCCGTTTCGCCTGAGACATCCTCGCAACTCTGGGCTCGGAGCTGCCGTGCCAGAAGTGGTGTGGCCCGTTTCGCTTCCGACATCCTCCCAACTGGGACTCAGAGATGCTGCGCGCGAGTTCGTTCAGCCCGTTTCGCCTGAGACACCTGGCCACATCTGTGTCCCGATATGCCGCGCGAGAGGTGGTCCAAGCCGTTTCGCCTGAGACGTCCTCGAAACTCTGACCTCCGAGATGCAGCTCGCGAGTTGGTCCGGGCCGGTTCGCCTGAGACATCCTCGCAACTCTGGGCTCCGCGTTGCCGCGCGAGAGGTGTTCCAGCACGTGTTGCCTCGCACATGCTCCAAACTCTGACCTCCTAGATGCCGTTCGGGAGGAAGAGGTGGTGGAGGAGGAGGAAGAGGACTAGGAGGAGATGGACGGGAGGAGGAGGAGGAGGAGGAGGAGGAGGAGGAGGGAGCAGGCAGGAGGAGGAGGAGGAGGGATGAGGAATGGAGTTGCATGAGAGGGCTCAACGGGCAGCGAGAGGTAGAACGGCCCGTTTCGCTTGGGGTATCCTTCCAATACTGAGCTCCGAGATGCCGCACGCGAGGTGGTCCAGCCCGTTTCTCCCGAGCCATCCTCACATGCTCCGAGATGCCGCCATGCGCGCCCTGCCTTCCGCCCTCCTCAGACATCCGACGTCACGATGTTTGTTTCGAGACGTGCGCCCGCGGACCTCTCGATCTCGTCCCCGGGACTGGTTCTTCGTCAGGGTTCTTCGAGATGCTGCGCACGAGATGTTGTGGAACGTTCTGCCTGATACCTCTCTCGTTCCTCCCACCCCCCTCCCCTTGCCTCCCGCCTGCCTCCTCTTCCCTCCTTCCTCCTCACGCCTCTCGCCTTTCGCTGCTGTGCCTCTGCCTCCGCCTCCCCGTCTCCGCCTCCGTCATTTTGCCGCCTCAGCATCCGCCATGCGCGCCTTGCCTTCCGCCATCCCCAGGCATCCGACGTCCAGATGTTTGTTTCGAGACGTGCGCCCCGCCTGCCCCCATTCCAGTTAGCATGGGGGGGCCGTCGCTGCAGCAGTATTGAACCGTCGCTGCGGCGGTCTTCAACGAGGCCTCCGACCAAGACCTCCCCCCAGGGCAACCGGGATAACCATCATTACATGCCCCCCCCGCTTCCTTGCCCTCCCCCATTTCCTTTTACAGTTGCTTCCGGGTTCACAGCATGGCGGTGGAGCCTCTGACAGTGCCGACCCGACAACTTACTCGTCGACCAGGTGCGAAGGAGGGAGGAGGGAAGAGGAAAGCTGAACGACACCGTCAAGCGCTGGCTTCATGAGAGGCATGCGTCACACAAGCTGTTGTGAAACATTCCAATGTGCAAACATCATGCTCTCATGTTTTAAGTTGCCATGCCAGCCCATACTGGACGGGACTTATAGACATATGGTTATATAGATACATACACACACCTACATACCTACCTACCTACCTACCTACCTATCTACCTACATACATACATACATACAGACAGACAGACATACAGACATACAGACATGCATACATATACACGTACATTCATGCATGCATGCATGCATGCATGCATACATACAAAGATGTGCATACATATTTCTATATCTATAGATATAGATAGACAGATAGATAGATGTGTGGGCGTCGCGGCTACGGGCGCGCAGCTGCGCGGCGGAGCCCAAATCGGGCGAGAAACAGCGGGCGGGCCCGGGCCAACTCAGCATCACTCGCGAGGGAGCACTTTGATGGGGGGGGCGGCGAACCTCAAACCTCGAACCTTCGTCATCGAACCTCGAACTTCCCAAAGTCAACTCTCGATCTTCGAACCCGGCGCCTCGCAACATCCCCTCTCCTCATCGTAGGCTGGGTCGCAGAAGTTGATGTCCAGCGCGGAGTCATCGGTCTGCCCCCACCCCATCCCCCCCGTGAGAGGAGGCCGAAGACGATGAGGGGGAGGGCGGGGAGAGAGGAGGAGGAGAAAGAGGAGGGCGAGATCGACGAGGAGAAGGAAGCGGAGGAGGAGGCGGAGGAGGGAGGACGGGGAAAAAAGAAGGAGGAAGGGGAGGAAGGAGAGGAGGAAGGAGGAGGAGTAAAAGGGGGAGGGATGAGGAGGGGGGGGATGAAGAGGAGAAGGAGGGGCAAGAGGAAGATGAGGAAGATGACCAATGTAAACCCAAGACGCACCAAAGACGTGGGAATAAACAGTCCCTCCAAGCTCTTGTTTTCCCCGTGCCCGTCCGCACAACTGATTTCATTCCAGGGAATGCCTCGTGGCACGGCAACCGTTTGGAAATCCACAGTCGCGCCAGGACAACATTCGTGGGACCCCAGCGCCGCGAATCAATCTGAGAATTATGCATCGCACAAGAGAATCTTTCTCCTGGGATTAGAACACGGCGAATCAACGTAACTGATGCGCCTTGAAGATCCTACATCATGCGACAACACCGCCCCTGGGACGCCAGCCGAACGAATCCTCGCTCGAAACAGTTGCAAACTTTGACAACGAGCGCGCGCGGCGCTAACTCGGGATCCACAATATAGAGAAAGACCGCCCTCCATGATTTAATCGGCTATAGATGCTCGAAACGCCTGCGCGCGGCCACAACGCGAGAGCCACATTCTGAAAAAAAACACCTGCCCTCCATCCTTTGAACGGCTGCACACCTGGACCAAACACGAAACGACACCACCCCAGTCAGGGCCAGACAGCGCTGGAATTTCAAGCACTTGTCCCGCGCAACCTCGGCGCGTCATCACGAAGACAACGCAGCGGCGTCGGAAGCCACCGCGCCGCGCCGGCGCCGAACGCCGCGCGAGCACCTTTCGCAGCAGCAGCGACGCGGCTTCCGCGCACTGGCCACGCGAGATCCCCAGTCACAGGGTACACACCGATCGCCTCGAACAACACCTGATGGCGCTGTTCGGCGGCACGCTTCCGCCAATCGTCGCGTTCGCGGCGCTCGTCGCACCGGCCAGCGTCGCGGCGCTAATCCCCGCCGCGTTCCCATGCGGCGGGAAGTGGGGGGGAGGCGTCGCGCCGCGCGTCGCCGCGCAGATCCGCACCGCGGCGACGGCACCCGCCGCGGCGATCAAACTCGCGCCAATGGCGCCCGTAATTCGGACCCCCGGCGACTGTGGAAGTCGAACTGTTGCGTTCGGTCGCGCTGCTCGGCGTCGGGCCGCTCGCGCCCGTCGCGCTGCCTTGCGCCGTGGTCGCAGCGCCCGATGGGCCGCCCACCTTGGCGCGGCGGCGCCGAACGCCGCTCGCTTAAAATTTGCCCATGGGAGCTAGTCCTGGCCAGCTGATCAGCACCGCGTCGCCGGTGCCCGCCACGGCGCTTACCGATGGGTATGCCTTGCACCCGTCGCGCAGCACGGCGTCGCGCTGGAGCGCGTTTCGCGCGGCCCTCTGGCGCCAGTCGAATGGCTTACCGTCGCGCTAGCGGCACCAGTTGCGCCCGGAGCCATAGAACGACATGGCATGAACCAAAATTCCGACGGAGGACAGGGGAACGGGCAGCAGGCGGGGCACGAGGAACGCGAAACTACTGATAAAACGACGGCAACGTCGGCAGCGCCCGCGCAGCCACTGCCATCACCGCGCACACCCGCGGCCGATGCTGCATAGCCACCACTGCCGCTTTGACAAAGGATCAAAGAGAGCTGGGAGGAATCACGTGGCGGAAGCAGGCGGGGGGGAAGCAGGACTGAGAAGGAGGGAGATGGGGAGGAGAGGGGAAACAATGAGGGCGAAGCAGAACGAATGAGGGAGGAATGGGGAAACGAAGTGGGAGGGAGGGGGGGGAGGAGGAAGGAGGGACTGAAGGAGGATGGATGGGGAGGGGAACGGGAGGAAGAGAAGCCAGGTGTACGATTAATGAACAGGGACGGGGAGGAGGGAAAGGGAGGACGAGAAAGGCGACACCAACCCCCTATCCCTCCTCCATCCCCCTCGCGAGCGTAAGCGCGCGCGCGGCCGAAGGGAAGGAGGAGACCGCGCGCACGCAGGAACGCGCGCGGAGGACGGAGGGAAAGAGGGACCCCAGGGAGGGGCCCCAGGGACCTTAGGGAGAAGGAGAAGGAGGAGGAGGAGGTGGAGAAGGTGGATGAAAAGGAGGAGGAGGAGGAGGAGGAGGGGCCTCGGAGCAGGACAGGGGAAGGCAGGAGGCGGGGGAAGGGAGCGGAGGGACGAAGGGAAGGGGGGGGACGGAGGAGGCACAAGGAAGCCCCACCCGACGGGCGTGGACGCCCCGTCCCCCTCGGACGCCCGCAGTGGATGGGGCAAAATGGGCACCATGCCCAGCAACACATGCTGTCCAAAATCGACAGCGGCCGCTGTTGGGCAGGCGGCCGTGTGTCTCAAATGGACAGTACCCCCGGCGACACCGAGAGCCACTCTGGTTCAAAAGAGCAAGAACTGCTGACGGTCTTCGTGCCCGTTCTTTCCGTACCCTGTTCTACCGTAAAGGTCCCCCACCCCCCTGGCGCCATGTCGACGGCCTTGGCGGCTATCAGCGCCGCCGCGGCCGTCGCTCCCTCCAGCGGGCGGGCCGCGCACGCGCCCTTCCGCCCCCACCGTCGCCGCCGCCGCTGGCCGGCGCCGCCGACGTCGCCGCGTCGTCGCGTCGTCGTCGCGTCGTCGTCGCGTCGTCGTCGCATCGTCGCCGCCGCCGCCGTCGTCGCCGCCGTCGCTGTCGTCGCCGTCGCCGAGACCCGGCGGCGCGAGCAGAAGTGCAACGCCGTGGGAAATCGGGGCCAGAGCCCTGGGCCCAGGCGCTGCGGCTCATCCCTCGAGCCAGATCGATGTCAGGGGGCCTGGGGCCCGAACACCGAGCGAAACCGCCCAGTGCAATTCAATTGTGACGCCCAGATCGCAGGGTCGTAGCTGGAGGCCTCTAAGCGGGGCTGGAATACAGTCAACCCGTGTTACAAGGACGCACGATAAGGCTGCAAGGGCCATGGAAGGCCATGTCGACACTTTGCGAGCGGGGCGCGGCCGGCGAAAGTGACCGAAGGGGAAGGATGCGAGGGTGACCTTGGAAGGTCGCTCATCGTTACTCTGCGGGTTGACTGCGGCATCCATGGACCCCTTTATGAGATGCATGTCCCTCTAGAACGCTGATTATGAAAAATGCACCTAGATACCTGTTACATCTAAACCGAGGTATGATACGAAGTACGTGCAAAGTACTTGTTTGATATCGGCGCCGCCAGGGCCACTAGCAGTGGATATTGGAAAAGTACCAGCCGTTGTTGGCAGAGGGAGTGGGTAAGAACGTAGATATCGTAAAAGTAGCCGTCCGACTTGTGATTAGCAGTTACATGACGCATGCAACGCAGCACGCAATGCAAGACACCAGGCAACGTTATGCAATTTACCTACTGCGACTGTGAGTATGCAGCCACCAAAGACATGTCAAGAAGGCCCAGAGACGGGCCCACGACGGCCCATACGCTCCCAACCTTGCCCTGGCAAGGCCAACGAATCGGCTTGAGTGCTTCAAGACGGCCCCAAGATGGCTTCCAAGGCGGCACGCAGAGCCCGAGAGACGCCAAGCTGGCCGCAAGATCTCTCCAAGACGGCTCCAGATGTACCGAAGACGACCCAAGATGACCTCCCAAAGCTTAACCCTAGATGCCCCTCAGAAGGCCCATTTGGAGGCTCAGGCGTTCCACGAGAGGCAGCCAGTGCTCTCTTGTCTCCCCCTGGCTGCCTCTCGTGGGACTCGTTCCCATTTTTTGTCAGCAGCCGCGTCGCCACCTGCAGGCGGTCGCCGCAGCTGACCTGCGGCCCGCGCCTCTCAAGGCAACTGGGCGGCGGCGAACGCCCACTTCCGCAACGACACCTGCATCTCGGGAGAGATGTCGCCCAGCCTCGGGTGCTCCGTGATCGTCTTCAGCGTCTTGCGGAGCTCCCTGCGCAACTTGGCATCGTTCTCGTCCTTCTGGTGCACCTCGTAGGCGTGGAGGCACTTTGCCGTCGCCCTGGTGACACAGCTCGTTCTCACCACATCGTCACTTGACTCGAAGATGGCGGCCTCAGCAGGACACCCGAAGAGCTCGTGGGCGGCGGCCACCTGCTTCTGAGACATCTCTAGATCCTTGATCATTGCAGTGAAGTTGTTGCCGTCGAGCTCGGCAACCGCTGTCAGGAACACCTTCCTGACCGTAGCGAAGTCGTCGCCCTTGTCGGCAGGGACGTCGGCAGTCCAAGAAGTTCCCTCAGTTGGCCCTAGGTTCGCGAGGCACTTGAGCTTGTCTGTTGCGGTCTCCATGGCAGCACGCGTCCTCTGCAAGTACGCATCCCGAATATGAGCAGTCATATCTTCCATCTGGCTGATGAAGTCACTCATCCCCTGGCACGGCGGCCTCTCACCGACCTTCTGACGAAGTAGAGCCGTGTCGTTCAGCAACGCTTTGATGGCGATGGCCGAATCCTTCGCAGAAATCCTCGCAGCCAGATCGGGCCCAAGCGACTCGAACTTTGCCAAGCTCTTGGATGTATCAGTCCACGCAGCCATGCACTCGACGAACTTGGCGACTGAATCCTTCAATGTGACGTCAACAGTCGCTGAAACCAGATCACGCACCGACATGGCCAGCTGAAGGATCGGGTCGAGGCTAGATCGAGTCTCACCAAGAGCATGCTCAGCGAAGTCGAACACAATCTCGGCAAGACAAATGCTGCATTTCTTCGGGCCCACGGACCAACTCCTGTCCCTCCCGTCCGCCTTACCTAGCCCACCATGCCTATCCACCCTCCCCCATCTGCAGCATTTGACTCACCCTCTGTCAGCCTGAATGAACTCCGAGAGCTGCTTCAAGGACTCCTCGTCGAGCTCCACGCCCGCAGAGCTGGCATCCTTCACGGCGCAGTCGACATCTACCACGGCTTCCATGTTCACCGACTTCGGCTGCAAGGTCCTGTACTTCTCGAGCACGGTGGTCAGGTTCTTCGCGTAGTCAGCCTTGCCAATCGCGGCCACGGCTACTTCGCAAGTCCTGAGGTGCGCCATCCAGATCTCCACATTGGCGGGCAGGACGGTGCACGCCTGCTTGAGACATTGTTCTGCCAGCACCAACTTCTTGTAGGCATCTTTGTCGGCGGCGCTCGGGTTCGCGATGTTCAGGGAACGAATGAAGCCCTCGAGCGACTCAGTCAACAGCTCGGCTAGGTGCTCGAATGTCCCTGCCCTGCATTTGGTGCTCGTTTGCTCCATCAGCGTCAGCATACTTGCAATAAGACCACTCCTCCCAGCGGAAGCTGCGTCCTTGCGAAGCTCCGCCTCCTTCGCAGGGAGGCCGGCAAGAAACTCCTTGGTGAAATCGTGTTTCGCGCCAAACTCCTTTAGTAGCCCGTCGTAGTAAGGCATGAACATCAGAGATTGGTACACCTTGTATGGCACGCGCTTCTTGTCTCCTTTGTCCTTGCTGGCGCCGATGGCAAACATGCGAATCAGCTCAGGATACCCGTCCACGAAAAAGGGATCCACCAACGCCTTCATGCCCTTCACGGAGAGCTCCAGGTCGGTCACCGTTTTGTCGAAGTCCTCGCAGTCCTCCCGATCCACGATCATGGCGCAATACTTCAGGCTCGCGTCCGCGATGGTGTGCACGGCCTCCTTCCCAGACTCGCCCAGCTTGACGACGCTAGACAAAAGCTTCTCCGACATCATCTCGAAGTTGTGGATCTTCTCCTCGTTCGAGCAGTCTAGGAGGCCGAGACGCGGCTTGTTCCCATCGAACGTCTTCTCGGTCCCGCTCCACGGCACGATGGCATGGATGAACGTGTTTGCGTCGCGGGACTTCAGGGCGTCCCCCAGTTTGTCGTCACAATACCTGCGCCAAAGCTGGAACTTCATATTGTTTGGAATGAACACCCCAGCGTCTTGAAGCTCCTTCACAGCGGTCTCGAGCATGCCAGCGCCCATCTCTGATATGGAGCTGCTGACCAGGTTCTCGGCGTGCTTTGCGAGGTCCAGGTGCTTGGACAGGGCATCGGCCCTGGCGTCGCCCTTGCGCAAGAAGAGATCGCGGGAGTCGCTACACCAACGCCTCTCACGGCCCATATTCTCGTTCCTCATGATCTTATCGATGTCGTAGGCGTTGATCCTCCGCTGCACGAGGTCGTCTCGAGCTGCATCTGTGATCGGCAAGCCGTCCTCCATGGGCACCCGCTTGCCCCCGCTGCCCTTGCCGATGCCGCCTGCCGCGCTCGGAGAGATGGCGCTCGCAGCATCCTCACCAACTCGGGAAGCACCAGAGCCGCGCCTCTTCACAGCAGGAGTCAGGCCAACCGACGACATGCTATCCAAGACCGCACGGCGATTGAGGTAGGGCGCGCGGGCAGTCTTACCTGCCTCCTCCGCATCTGCAGCCGCGCCCTCGTCGAGCTCCCCCTCACCAGCCTCGTGGTCGGCCACGTCGGCAAGATTGGCAACGTCCTCACGCGGCTCGTGGCGAGGTGGTGGGCCAAAGGTGCGGGCGGCATCCTCGTCCACGTTGCCAAGCTGGCCCATGAGCATCGCTGCCATGGGGCTGCAGTTCATGGGGTGCACGTCGACCCCGCGATACTCGCAAGACTTCTTGACCAGGTCTGTGAGGTCCCATGGCGTTGTCCTCATCTTGACTGCAGCATCCTTGACATCCTTTTCCTTCTGCATCTCGGCCTTGGCGAAATCGAAGACGACGTCCGCATGCTGCTCGTGCATCTGGTCGGCGCTGCCCATGGCGACTGTAGACCTCTCGACGCCGATTGTCTTGGTGAAGTTGAACTCCGTGAACGGCCTCGCTGGGTTCGGGATCAGCAACCCTTTGTACTGGGCGTTGTTGACGTCCACGAGATCCTGCATCTTGACGCCCATGCGCTCTGGCGAGACAGACAGTAGATCCTTCAGCTGAGCCCGACTCGGGCCTGCCATGCTCTTCGTCACTGTGCACTTGTAGATCTTGCTCTGCGAAACCTGCGTGGGCAGCCAGTGTTTCTCGCCGTTTGTCTTGGTCCCCTCTGCGCTGGTCCACGCCTCTTGGATCGCCGTGTCCTTGTCCTTCTTCGCATTGAACTCCCGCCAGCTGCCGTAGGTCGTGAAGCCAGAAAGGTAGAGCTCCCAGTGGAACGTGCAAGCGTCGGTCACCCCAGCTGGAAACCTCGACGCAGCCGAGGGTGTAGCGCCACAATCATAGCAACATGGGCCTGCAGCCTTGTCATGGGCGGAGGCCCCACGAGCAGTCGAGCCTGCAGCAGCAGACCCCTCGTTCTCGCCGTTGTGCCGAGCGAGGGCACCTGCGGACAGGCGTGGCACCTTCCTGGCACCACGAGGCGCCTTCTCCTGGGTATCATCGCCCCTCTTGCGGGATCTCTTGTCGGGCATCTTGCGCGATGCCCTGAGCGCCTGGCTGGAGTAGTAAAACGTGGTGATCCGTGCAACCCGCAGCTGCGTTTGGCTAGAGCCCGAATGTCAATGAGCGGAGGGTGTGGGTCACACCGCATTTGCACAATCATTTGGAATGGGAAGGGCCTCTCGCCCGCTAGATAA